ATTAGTACAAACAAAACAATGTTGAAGGTTAGGTCCTGCTTTTTACTTGCTTATACGATCTTAAAAATTTAATCCTCTTAAAAAAATCTTTGTCCTTGGATGATTTTTCTTCTAATTACAGTCTTTTTCTTTAATGATCAATTGTAAAAGTTAAATAAACAACACAACGTTTTAAAATTGTGTTTATTCCGTTGTTTATATGGCATTTCCAATAATACATCTCTCTCTGTCTAACGTACATAGCTAAAAAGAGAAAACAATAGCAGAATCGATCGGAACGATGAACGAATAGTAATGGTGACTAGCAAATATTTTGTTTCAATGGTATAAATTTAGTAATCCGATAGTCCGATTATTTTTAATTTGTTAAATTGTGATTTTTTCATGAAGGACATAGAAAAAGTATAATATGCAACACATTTGGTACGCCTTTTATCTCACTCGTTTATTAAACTCGTGAGTCAAATGCCGTTTACCGCACTTGTTGCATAATACTTTTCTTAGTAGTGTTACGCGGTAATTAATTAATCAGGTGTTCGATATACTGTCACAAGCACAATTAGCTGATATTCTTGCAAAGCCATTTGTTGATAAATTATCTATCTGACATTCCTCAACTTACGAAAGTAGGAAGCATTTCTGTAACTGGGAAAAATCATCCGAACTTTGATATAAAAACTTTTGAAAAAAAAGTCAATTGACTGAAATAATTTGAAAAATAAAATGAAATTTATATTTATTTATTGTTGTTTACAGTTGCGTCGTTCTGAGAACCAAATGGAGTCGATATTTTTATTGGCATTCCTTCAAGAGGTTGATAGGTAAATTGAACATCGCAAACGCATAATAATTGATTATAAACTACATATTATTATTAAATATTAAAAATAAACATTTTGATCGAATTTGACTAGTCAATTAAGAAACTTTATTTTGGATAAAATATTACGGTTGAATTTCAAAACTGTTTCGTGTTTAAAAAACTTTCTATTTATCTATTTTTCATATCTGTAAAATAAATAATGAATGTTTATTTCTTGTCTTATGTAAGTCGTGTTTTCAACTCTTCTCGTATATCTTCTTGAACTGAGTGTATTTTTCTGCATGTGTATGCATCAATTTTCATTTTATATTTCAATTCATCTTCCGAAAGTATCCTTAATTATGTTGTTTGATATTTCGCTAGATTTGCATAGTATTTTTAATGGTTAGTTATCGGCAGTCAAAGTAGATGTATGCCAGATGTAATTCACTTACGTCTTGATTCTCTCTTGAGTTCTCTCAAGAAGGCGTTGTGGGAAATCTAAAATTTGTCCATCGGGATTTATTGAGTTTGTCTTAAGCAATTTAAATCCACAGCAATCTGGCTAACTGATTAGTTTTGGCAATCGGCGTTTTAGTCTGTTTTTTGACAGAACCGCGAAAACCCCAAACGACATCTTTTGTAAGTTTGCTACCACTTCCTAGTATTCTAATTCTGGCGAGTCGTTAAACAATTCTATATTCTAGGCTTTTTTTTACTTTCTTCTGCTTTGTTCCTCCTTTCGTCCCGGTCTACGTTTCCCGATTTCGACACCTGGTTGTTGGCGACTACATGTTGGAGTAGCCTTGACTTCCCAAGTAGTTGCACGTAGGAGCCAGTCAATCATCAGACGGAAAGGCTTTTAACGAGAATAGCTTCAGTACCTCGGAGTTTGGAGTGAGATAGTAAAATTTTATTTTGTGACCTTCTGATTTGACTAAATTAATAAATTGATACTATCGGTTTATGAAATCCCCTGCAAGACAACTTCCAAGTTGAACTCCAAACATATTTTAAATTATTTGGAAAATTAAGTACCTGATTTAGCTTATTTATCCGTGATAATTAAAATAATAAATAATACCATCTAGTCGAGACTCACTTCTAGAGTGTTTTCGTTATGGACTTGGTTAAAGGTATTGGATCTCTTGAATTAAGATTCTCATGTTGTAACAACTCCTGAGCCAGCACTTAGCAACTTGTTTTTTAGTACTTGTGCTGTCAGAATTGACAGTTGTACTAAGTAGTCATTGCCCTTTAGAGATCCTTGTTATAGGAATGCTTGTATTTCCTTTTAAACAATAAATGAAATTGAAATAATTTGGTTAACTTGTATTTTTTTTCTGATATAGTAATAATAATAATTATAAAACAAACGGTCGTTCTTAAAACGACAACACATTGTACTTACATAAAATTATTTTCCATAAACTTATGGCGCTACCGTATTTCTCGAATGACAAAGATGACTTGTATTGATACTCGTGATTCGACGGCTAGAAGTGCGGCAGCGAAGAAATATAAACCAAACTACACACCTACAACACGTCATTCCTCATTCCGTTTTGAGAGATTTTTTCGCATCTGTCATGGTACAGGAAAACAGATGCCGGTGTATTTTCAAAGTTTTAATAACTTTGGAAATTTTGAACTGAGGTGGATTTTACTTGATGAAAATAAATAAGAACTAAAAGTTCAGATTTTCACGAAATTATATATTTTGACATGACAATTGTTTCGACAACACTGTGTCTTTATCAAATGTATCAACGTATTTTTCACCACACAATGCACAGTAATCATCATTTTCCTTAAAATCATTAATATTTTCTTGACTAGCCTTAACTTTAACAGCCTTATCTTTGGTAGTAGTATTCTTCTTTGTTTTTTTTTAGAATTTTCAGTTTTATTTGCTCTAGCTATGCTAGTTGACGTGGATTGTCGTAAATTCAAGTCAGGGTGCCTTTTTAAAAATCCATACACCCAATCACGTCCAGCCATTTTCGACTTTTGATTAAACCGATGAGGAATATGATTTATTTCAGCATACTCGTAGATCAATGTTCTTAGAGTTGTCATATTAAGTCCATAATAGAGATCATCACATCTTTTTAAATAATTATATATTTCATTTTCTTGCTCACTTGTGAAAGTTGAAGTAAATCTTCTTAATTTTAGAGCAGTTGAAACAGATTTTAATTGCTTCCTGTTCAGCTGCTTTTCTTTTACTTAAAACTTCGGCAATCAATCGCTTAGCAGCATCAAATTGATCACGGGTAACAACGGACCTGTGTGGAGCCTTCCGCTTGTAATTTCGAGGCATTGTAGTTTTTTTTTTAAGAAATATATAAGTATAACCTGAAACAAATAACAACGAGTGTCAATACACAAAGAACTCACTATCGGGGTAAAAGTACGCATTAAAATATGCGTATTCTTACCCCACAACCGTATGCGTACACTTAACCCTAATCGCCTTTACAGATTTAGTTTAAAATTACACATTTTTGCGTCATTCTACCAAGTTTTGATGTATAGCTGATAAAATTAGATATATAAACGAGCATAATTGGACATAATTAATAACAATTACCGTTACATAAATATAAAAGTATTTGAATTCTAAATTGGAAAAAGCGTAAGAATAATAACTAAAATTTTTACTTACCAATATTACTAAAACTACGTAACTTTGCCAGACAAGACTCTAGTCTTTTGTCCAACGTCGTAGTGACTACTGAAGGCAGTTGATTCCCCTACTCTACTGTCAACGGTTTTATAAATAATAAGCCTGCGCACACTTATCCGCTGCCACACAGGCCCCACATGACTCTATATGTGTTTTACGATAAAATTGCGGTTGTTGGAGGTGACAACATTAGATAATTTTCTGCCTTGTCTTGACATTTATACTAGTCCTTTCAAGTCGTCCTCTGTAATTAGGGTTACCCCTCCATTTCAAGCGTTTCTTCTAATCCACCTTAGTAAGTGGCCTAAGCTTTAAAGTTATTTTTTTCTCTATCTCAGATGAGACAAGTTTAGATCTCGGGTAATTCCTACTAAGTGTAGACGCTTAAAAGCTCACTCCCTCTTTTCTGAACCCCTTCGTTTATGATAGTCATTTCTACTTTCATTTTCATTTTGGTTGCTTTTTAGCTCAGATAGGTCTAAGTTAAGTTACATTATATACCTAGCCTTTCTCTCAAATGTTTATTAGATACAGACCGCATGATCATCAATTATTAGATTATATTATGTATTATATGTAAGCTAATGTGGATATCACCAGATATCAAGTCAAGTCTGGTGGGCAGCACATCCGTCTACCCACCTTTGTTAGATCTAAATTAGATTACGGATCAGTCATCATAGAAAACTATATTCTGCATTCGGTTATTAATAAATTAGATCAAATTCAATACCAGTCATTTAGTATTGCTCTTGGATTTATGAAATCTACTTTGATTAACTCAATCTTAGCTGAAGTCTATAAAACTCCTTTGCACTCCAAAAGATCATATCTGGCTTCCAAACTTCTTCTCAAGTTTATATCGTGAAAAATAATTCCAAAAATGCAATAAAACTATAATTTTGCAGTGCATTTTATAGAATCTGGTTTTTTCTAAGGATTGTCCAATGAACCGCTATTTCGGAAAACGTGGGAGTGATATGTTGACCTCTGAATAAGTATATGTCTTGACGGTTGCCTCTAAGGTAGGAATAAGAGTATTTATCCAACATCTTAACATAAAATCAGAGTTGGGAGTGAACAGCTATTTTAACATGTATGAACAATAACTAATAGGCACTGATAAATTAAGGAATGTCTAAGTAGTCTCCGATTCCAAGAGTGCCCTCCAGAGTCTGAAGTCTACTATCTTTAATGAAAAAACTAGTAGGATGGTTTCAGAGGTAAAAAGTAGATTAAAAGTTCTGCTTTATTTTATATGGAGCTTTCTTAGTTGCTGTGCTTTGAACTTGTAGTGTGACCTAGTGTTATAAATTAGTTCCCATTACATACTCGATCATAACGGACTTACTGACTTTGCTATGCATAGAGCTGAAATTTTACTGGCCCATTATTACTGTTATTTGAACTTTTAAAAAATCCCTCGACGGATGTCGGGGATGGGCGAGTGCTCACAGTAGCCGTGCCTAATAAAAACAAGGAAGAAGAAGATATGCTTTGCGGTTCGAGTGTCAAAAAACGCCAAAATTTTCGGTGTGTAAAAATGCTAATCCACTTTCTAATGGTAGCGTTCGTAGTTACTGAATCCAAAATGGCTGCCGAAACAAACACGTCCTTCGTATACATTCCTCCCGGGAATACAAGGTTCCCGTACGGAGACGAGGCTACTTTTAACATAAACTTCGCTGACAAGGACGTCAACCAAGTGACGTGTTATGAAAAAATAAAGGTAAAGTATGGCTAGTTTGCGACTATTTCAATGGACCTTTTTATCTGCCTTAGCCCAAAACCAAGATTTATCTTTCCAGTGATTGCCAAAACATTAACAAAAGTGATATAATTTTCGGGAGAATACTGAAGGTGGAACCATTTTAATAGAAAATCTTTTAAATTATTCATCCTCAAGACATTTAGGTCATTTTGAAAATCATGTTATAAAATGGCAACTGCAAATAAATGCCGACAAGTTCGAATATACAGTGAACGACTAAGTTCAACTGAAAATCAAGGAAAATGCTGGCACACATCCATCATAACTTTCTCTTGCGCATTTTTTCAGTAAATAGAAAATATACAGGGTGAGTCAAAAAATTGATGTCGATAGATAGGAAGTTCGTTTTTTAAATGGACCACTAATTTTTAAAATCTATTCTCGGATTCTGCGTCAAATTTAAAACTCATAGTATAGTATCATAGTTTCAGTAAACTTCATAAATTTCTATATTTACACTTCTATTTGTCAGAACTCAAGAATAACCTTGCAATTTGTTTGACGCAAAAGTAAGACCCACTGCAAGATTCACAGTGAGCAAAATTGAGAGAAAATTTATAGAATTTATTTTTTATAATTTAGAAAAAAAAAATTATTAGGTGTTAAAAATGCCCACCATTTATTTTTTGACAATTTGCTAATCGGTTTAAACCCCTTCCAAAGCATTACTCAGGATATTTTCACTAATTTGGCTATCTAATTCTAAATCATCATCTAAGTGTTGTAGTATTTTCTTATACACTTTTAATTTTAAATATCCCCAGAGGAAAAATCCAGTGAAGCAATATCTGCAGATCTTGCAAGCTATGCTATTAATGCCCTTCTCCTTCTACCAATGCACTGTCCAGAAAATGATGAACATTACAGGCCTAGAAGGCCTATGGCTTAGTTGACTTTGTCCATGTTCATTTATGCTCTTTCACCTTAGCTCTACCTCTCCTTCTCCTAACTCCAATTCCACTCTCTAATATGATGTTTTTGGGTAATCCATCTTTTTTCATTCGCTCTATGCTCTATACTCTTCATGTTAGTCTATAACAGTTTCCTCTGCTTACAATATCAGGTTAGTCAAATGATTCTTGCAGTTCCTTATTTTTCTTTTTTCCCCACCTATCACCGACTTTCTTTTCTTTAAAGATTTTGCATAAACACTTTCTTTCCCAAACTGCTAACACGTTTTGCTCACTTTTCTTCATTGTCCATGTTTCGCTTCCAAATAATACTCTAGGTCTCAGGACTGACTTCTTGGTATTGCAGTTCTAAACAGAAAATTACTATAAAGTAAATTCATTAATTTATATATGCATTTGTTTGTTTTCAATGCTTTTAATTTCTTACTTCTCTAGAAGTGTTACTTTAAGGTGCCCACCTTTGCCAACTTCGTTCTTAGTCTTTCTCATGTACTTTGTCTCCACTGCGTACTGAGTACTCGTCTTAATTTATGTTTCCTTCTTATCTTTAACGCCACATAGTCTGCAAATGCTAGACATTGTTGTCTTTTATGATATATTATGCCTGTTCTATTTATATTGTATTTTCGTACGCCATATTTCATTACGTAATCACATAGTTTGACGACAATGGGTCTCCTTGCTTCAAACCTTCTCTTGCCTCAAATTCCCAGTTATCCTGGCTACACGACCTTTCGCCTCCTCGAGTGTTAGATTGATGATTTAATGAGTTTGCATCTACTATAAATACCGTTTTTAAATATTCACACACTGTTCGAACAAAATGGGATGGAGCAACATCCTGTTGAAATTAAATCTCTCTATTTGGTTTATCAGGTTTATCAAGCTGCTAGGAAGAGGAATTAAGAAATTTTGAAGAAACTGAAAATATCACGCTCCAGTAAGACGTTGATAGATAGCGCCACAAACGTGGGCGGGTCTTGGCTGACTGCACAACTTTTCTCCAATTAGTACGATCTTTCAAGATTAGTCGAAAGTGATGTTCATTTTTTTGAGGCCTGATATGATCGGTCTGATGTCTTTCCAACGAATTCTGGGACCTCCGACTGGCCTTTTTCCCATCGGGAAGTCTTCATTCTTCAACGTGGAGCCTTTGTACATGTATTGCCCATATAAGTCGTTGAGATTTGATGTCTTGAATAATGTCACTATGTCGCTGCCTACAATTTTGTTTAGTTACCATACTATTTAAACTAAGCAGTAAGTGATGATGCAAAAATGAACTTAAGTTACACATTTAGAATACAGTGTCACAAAACAACTCCTGTACTAAAGCAATCTTGTACGGATAATACTTTTTTTCTTTTAATACTCACAAAGTTGTTCGTATAGGGAGGGCATGCTATATGAATTATGATTGAAATTTGACGCTGAATTCGAAAATCGATTTAAAAAGTCAACTTCGTATCGGCATCTAATTTTTGACCAACACTGTACATATTACGTTTACCTCAAAAAATGCAGAAGCAAAATTTTAATAATAATGATAAATTTATTGTTGATCATGTGATTCTAAATACTAACAATTTGCAATTATATTACATTAGTATTAACAACTATAACAAAACATTATCAAAAGTTAACATTTATCAACAATAATTTTGGACGAACTATAGTATCTTAACATTAAAATATTACACAATCAAAGGTTGGTTCCCTAATTTAAAGGTTATACTATGTATCTTTTATTATTATTCCCTAGTCTATTCCAAATAAACTAAATCAAAACCGCTTAGTCCAAACCAGTCAGTTAACTCTTTTTTTTACTATATTGTATGATTTAATTCTTAGTTCAGCAGGTAGAGCATTGAATAATTTTGGTCCAGTACAGTATATATGCTTTTGGAACGCTACAGTTTGGTTAATACCATGATTTATTTTGGTTTTATAATAATATTATCACTGATTTAATATGCAGCTTCTTAAAAGTTGGCAGATTTCTATTCAAAGAGTAAGTTAGTTGGGCACCGCTTTTTTTTTAAACACATGGTTTTTATAACCCCAGGCATTACCCCATCCCATTAACATATAGTTCATTATAGACTCCATTAGTGAAAAATATGCCATCTTTAGTCCCTCCAAGCATAACATATCACGTAATTCATAGAACTTATAGTTTAGTTCTCTGATTTCGCTAATTACATAATTAGTATGCTTATTCCAAGTTCATCAATCGGTATGCCCAGATATTTAGTAAAAGTTTTTCTTTCAGGAAAGTTATATTTACAGTCTACGTCTTGCTCACAATAGGATTCGTGAAGTCTTAGTTTCTGAAGATTGTTCAAGGCTAATCTCGCCATTCTAACGGTATGTTCCCAAGATTTACCCGACACAATCACTACTCTATCATCAGGAAAGCAAAACACATTTCTCTCATGTGTTACATACATTATGCCGTTAATTTAAGTGCTAAACATCAGTGGACCAAGCACCGTGCCCTGCGGCACACCATATCGCATCCGCAATCTATTATTAACGTATCAGCTATTTTCACACTCTGTGTTCTCTCACTCTAGGATCTAAATTGGTTATTTGCTACTTCTCCTACATTAAAATCATTCAGCTTTTCCAGTAGAATTCCGTATGCCACAGCATCGAAAGCCATAGTCATGTCGAGAAAAATACCAATCCCTCTCTGACCGATATCAAGTCTACGTAAAATATAATCTGTAATCCAACAAAGTGCTCATGTCCTCTCAAAAGGCAACTTTATGGTCATTCAAAAATTTATTTTTTGAGAACATCAGGGAAGACCTCAGTACCCAACACACAATTTACAAAATGTTTCAGACAATATTTATTTTTATTTTCAAATTTCTAATTTTCGTCGTCGATAATCAGTGTAAAATAAAAGTAATTTAGATTTACCTTTCTAATCTCATTAAGGATAGGACCGAACCCGATTACAATTAGATATTCTTCTAGCTATGACAGAAGTAGGAGTTAAATTCACTTGATATTGCATCACAATCAACAATGAGTAAATCTTTATTGAACTGGCAAAACGAAAATGAATTATTTCACATAAAATGGCGACTTGAAAGGTGAATTATACCAAAGTAGTTTTCAGAGAAACTTGATTTTATTTCGGAAACAAAACGATTTAGGTATAGGGACATGAAACATCGTTCGTTGTATATTTATATATGTATTTAAAAAATGCTATTTTCACCATTTTTGTATCTGGAAGACAAATCATTAGTTTTGACCATCCGTGTATAACGTAGAACTAATTTCGATATTAAGAAATTCTTTTCGATACCTCCGTAAGCTATGTCCAAAATTTAAACTTTCTATTGGCTCCAGCGTCGAAGTAATAAAAATTTAATTAAAGCCATGTTATCGCTGAAAAAATGAAGAAAATAATTATTCTCTTTGAAACCGCTGAAAATAATTATAGGAACGTATTATTCGGAACCAATCATAAAGTATTAGAAAATGCAACAATATACATGGTGTCTCTTTCAAAATTTCAACGTTAATGTCATAGCATCAAAAATACTTTATATCGATACCGTTTATCGTAAACGTCTAACTTACCATCAGCGGTGAAACGTTCAGTATAAATCATTTGGAAGTCGTAGTATGATCAATTTTAACCAAATTTCTTAAAGATAATCATAAAATATGAAATCAATCCCTGTGAGACCATTCAAAGTTGGACTTGCAGCATATGCCCGACATTTCTTATTGGTCAAAATCCAGGTGCCTGACATCACAGGCAATATTGGGCATATACATAAGCTGATAACAGTCGTTGACAGATGAGACTAGAACAGAAAATAAATAAGTAAGTAAATAAAATAATTACAAAAATTAATGATCAAATAGTAAGCATTTTCACACATTTCATATGCTTCCCCTTCAACCTTTCCTAATAAAAAGGCAACAGACTTACAGACGAAACTAATTACCAATTAAGTTATGCAACATTAAACAAATTAAATAAACCATAAGAAGCAAAAATCAAAATATGACGCGCTTAACGATAATTGTTAGATTAATAGAACAAATAGAAACATAGAGAGCCTAAAGAATAATAATAATAATTTCCAGGTTTTTTCCGAAAAGGGGTCGTGCCCCTTTACCCCCGAAGAATCCGAAGAAGACCTTCACCCTTACGTTGACTGTCCGGAATTTACTCATTTACCTCCCCTAAGTAACCTCGTTTACACCGACAAGAGCTTTCCGACCGAATCCCAGTGTGATAACTGCGACCTGAGAGTGACCGAAGACGAAACGGCGGTCATTTTAAAATGTACAGGGTGTTTCGATCTGACGGTGCCGAGCCAAAATCAAACGGATATCGTTTACAAAGTGTTCTACGTAGGAATAGCGAACTATAGCAGCGGTGGCGTGAAAGGGGCGGCGAACGTTTAAATATTTTTCGGGCCGCGTTATTATACAAAAAAAAACGTAAACAATCATATTTTGCCGGTCTAAATGTTTATTTATACATTATTAATGAACGGCTCGCGAGTTTGGGGTTATTACGCGCGCAAATAGTACGTAGCGCCAAACAATTAATGCGCTATGTACGCGTATCGACATTAAAACCGCAGTTTGTTTTTCTAATAACTGCGGCAAATATTTTTTGTTTGGCGTTTAACGCGACATTTGCAAACAACATGGCGGTGCGGCAAAATAGCTGCGTCGCAAAGTGGATTCTTTTCGCCTCGACTTTCAATAAAAAAAGATTGTGCGTAAAATTAATAAATGCTATTCATCAATATTAATATTACGATTCGGTGATTGAGACTATTTTACATTATAGATTGAAACAATAATCAAGCTAGCATTAAACAATAAATGCAAAACATCCAAAATTAATTATTTTTTATTGTTCCAATACAAAAAATAATTGGATCAATGTTTTGTGATTATGAACCTATGTCCTTGTTCATTAAAACAATTTAAAAACATTATGAATCCATTAAAAGCAAACATTAAACATTACTGAACCGTCTTGATTGTTTCGACGAACGCTAAACTTGCGTTCTGTGATTTCAACCATTATTTCCTAAAAATACGTCATTATTATTATTCATCATTATTACGAATAGCAATCGTTGGTGTTGACTGCATCCACCGCAAACTAAACAAGATTGCTTTCGAAAAATCGTCACTGGGCGGGGCAAGTTCGTAGCGCGTATCGCAAAGGAGCTTTTCATTATAAAAGGAAGGAGCTTCGCGGTTTCGTGTGTTAAAGGGATACATTGTTTTTCTGCGGACCATCATGGAACTTTCGCAAAATCGATGTAATTTAAATGTGCATGCATCCTGTATAAAATGTCCTTCACATCTCGTCGAACTTCAAATTTACAGCAAACATCGGCAAATATAAAAGTAATAGCGTTGTCGAATGATATTTTTTCAAATATCTCGCGCCCTGTATAATTGACGAAACCTGAATGCCTCTCTCGACATAGTTTACGATACTGTTCAAATAAAATTAACCCATCTTATCGCCAATAATTTACCCACAAAAACGGAAATTTTTAGGATATTTTAGATTTTTTGCCCATAAACGACACACACTGTATATGATTCAATCATTGTTCGAAGTAGAGGTTATAGCCCCAGATTTTACACGTTTCCTGGTTAAAGAATTTTTTCAAAATAGTGAATGGTTTTCGAGAAAATAAGTTTTTTCTGGAACCATGCAGTGCGCCCCCGAAATAACGAATTTCAATATGGATTTTTTTGAAATATCCCGAGCAGCGTATGTGATAGACGACAACCGCAAATACAAAAATTGTAACTCTTGATGCAGCCTATGACACCGTTTGAACCAATTATCCTTATTTTTTTCGATTTTTGATTTGCGACTAATAATTTGAAAACCCTGTATATAATCGAAAAAATGCCCAAAATAAATGTTATTCCACTAGATCTTCTGCGTCTGCCGGTTAAAGAATTTTGCCAATCGAGTGAAACATATTTTTCTGGAAGCTAAAATTACAACAAAAAAAAAATCAAATATATTTAAAAAATACTTCGTAATATTTGATTGGGCCCAATTTCTACAGTTTAAATGTGGACACGGACTTTTGCATCTCTGCTAAATTTGAAGTTGATATCTGCAAATTTAGGACACTTAACACATTTCTCATTTAGCACGGAACATCGGGAACACCCTGTACAATAAGTGAAAACCTTAAATACAAGAGTTTTTGCTATCTAAGCGGGCTATATCGCAATATAAAAGAAAGTGGGATGTGAATAATAGTCTTTCAGTTATAACTAATTTTCAAAAATAGGGAGACCCATTTTTCAGTTTTTTTGAATTTGCTGCGCAACCTGTATATTTTTGAAAAATTGGCAGGAATGAAAGATTATATCTTTTGATTCTTCTGGTTCAACAATTTTGTTGGTCTCGTAAACAGTTTTTGATAAATGATGTTTTTTGTAGACCCTTACACGCGCAATTTTTTATTTTTTTACAATACTTTACCATAAACGACACACCCTGTATATAATTCAAACAATGTTAATAGTAAATGACGTCATCGAGTCTAGATTGAGGGCAAGACATAGTGATTTTCATTTGGATTTTTTCAAATATTTCGAACAGCGTTAGACGAAAACCGTAAATACACAAATTGTAGCTCACGATGTGACTTATTATACTGTTTAAACCAATTGGTTATATTTTTCACGAATTTCGATTTACGGTCAATAATTTAATAGCTAATAGAACGATTTTCAGGATCTTTTAGATTTTTGTCTATAATTGAGAAACCATGAATATAATGGAAAAAATGCCTGAAATAGAAGTTATGGTCCCCGATCTCCTGCATTCGGAAGTTATCGTCGAAAAACCATGGTACAGAGAACGGAGAACGGACAGACAAAAAAATTTTTTTTTCAACGCTGATCATTTCTGTACCAATGGCGGTCCTCTAGGACCTACGATTCCCGAGGTCTCGAGTGTGGTGAGGAGGGCGAATACTTTCGAAAAGAATCGATTCCATCAATTTTTCGAAAGTAACAAGATGACGTGGTTTTTATTCGCTTAGCGCTGTGCCGATGTTAGAGGTTAAAATGCGTGTTTTGTGCGCCAAGAATTTTAGAAATATGTGTTTTATAAACCAAAGTTTTTTAAAAGTGTTTATTCTATACAGGGTGGTCGTACACACACAGTATATGATTCAATCATTGTTCGAAGTAGAGGTTATAGCACTAGATTTTCCACGTTTCCTGGTTAAAGAATTTTTTCAAAATAGTTAATGGTTTTCGAAAAAACTATAACTATAACTATATTTCAACTAGATATATCTATATTTAATAATAATCAAAAACATTAAAATTAAATATTAAAAATAATATCTAAAATGACTATTCAAATATTAAATGGCTCTTAGGTTTCGTGTTTTTCACTTAAGTTATTTTAAATTGGCCTTACCTTCATTAAAGTTTCTGTGTTTACTATTACATACTAATATATCAACAAAAATGCCCTATATTTCGGCCTTTTTTGATCATAGACATATATGGCTGAAAAGGGCTCGACACGGGCATCTTTTTAAGATGTGTGTATTCAAAAAGTTATGTAATTCGCTGAGCTGCGTACATTCGAACTTCGATAGTTTTTTGTTATGTTGGTACATATGTTGGAATATATGTTCACAGTTGCAGTCAGTTTGCACGTTTACTTTTTTATTGTGAGACAGAAGCATTAGACGTGTTTCGGTTGCTCGGCGATTTTCTGCTGTCAAAATAAATGGAACAAAGAATATGCATACAATTTTGAATAAAAAATAGAATACAGTGCTGCAAAACACTTGAAATGGTGACAACGCCATATGGTGAATTCACTTTGAGCAAAAAAAAATGTTTACAAGTGGTACAAACTCTTCCAAGATCTCCTAAAAGAGGCCAATGACGAACCTCGCTCTGGACGGCCCAGCACGTCAATAACTGACGAAAGCGATGAAGAAGTGAAACAAATGGTGTTAAAAAATCGTCGAATCATTATTGGAGAAGTCGCCGAAGACGTCAGCATCTCTATTGGCCCGTGAAATACATTTATTTTGAGAATGAAACGTGTAGCAGCAAAATTTGTTTCGAAACTGCTTAATTTTGAACAAATGGACCATCGAACGAGCTCCGCTCAAGAGCTTGCAAAGAAATTAGGATACCGATATTAATTTTGAAGGTAGATAACTCGTATTTGATATTAGCGTTTTTCTAAGATTATGTAAAAGACGTATGCAACGGAATTTGAATTAGGTACTACGGGGTGTTCAAAATAAAGGATTATATTTGGGTCATTTTAAGATGAAAAATCTCTATTTTTTTAAATGGCATATTACATGTAATATAAATTATTTTTTTCTGAAAGTTCTAACAAAAACTTACAACTTACAAGTATAATGCTATTAAGTGGTTCTAAAAGAAATATGAAACAATAGCTTGAATGTGTATTTTATTCCACACCACAAATTAAGTAGACAATGGTTTTTGGTTAGTCCCGTACCCAGGATCTTGGCTATTTCTCATCAATCGGCGACACTTGGAGAGTAGAGGGAGCTCACTACACTGGCTACGGCTACAATTCGATTTGAAATCATTAAAATGATGTGTCAAGAAGAAACGCTCAACTAGCATTTCGTTAGGCAGGAGCAAGACAAACCCTGATAAGGATGTACACCGGACACTGCAACCTCAAACATCAAATGCACAAAATCTTCCTTTCGGACGACGATGAGTGTAAGATGAAGGACGAGGAAAACTAGGGGCTGAAATCCTGGAAGTTGAGAATCTGAAGGAAATACCGTCCCACCAAATAACCAACTTAAGACAAGGGCTGAACTTGATGGGAGAAATGGAAGACTAGCAAGACGGCCAGACACAATAACCTACAGCTAAACCTAACCCATCGCAAAGATTAGTACCCGCATTAATCAATATTTCATCAAGATAAAAAGCATTCATCTGTTCCATTTGCTTCTTGTAATTCTCAAATTTAAATTCTACTTGAAATAATGGAGCAATTCTATAGAAAACTGGACGGAAGTAGACTACAAAGTTACGAGAATTTGGTAAAGCCTAGTGTTTGTAGAATCATGAACGTCGGATCTGAAGAAATAGCAGATATTACGGGGGAACAAGTAAGAAACAACGAAACACCACGATAAGACCAAATCTTCATATATGCTATTAAGATGGACGGAGACAAACTCGTTAAAAAACTAGTCCTTTTCACCTATGGTTTTAGAATAATATTATTTCAAGTAAATAATAAAATACAGTCACCATTCTTATACACGAACTGTTTACTAAAATTATAACCAAACGCTTAAAAACCAAGCTCGACCTATACAAAACCATAGAACATGAACAGGAGTATTTACGGTATCAACCACCACCTGCAGACAATTAAGACCTTAAATGAGAAATCCGTTGAATATAATTGGCCATTAGTTGTGACATTTATTGATTTCCAAAAGGCTTTCCATACTGTGAAACTCCTTGCAACATGAGCATTACTATAAGAATATACAACGCATAAACGCGAATGCCACTGCAATCCTCAGAGTTCACGATATGATAAATAAGTACCAAATACAACTTAAGTATGATGCAGGCGGATACTATATCATCCAAATTATTTACAGCAGAACTAATCTTTCAAGGAGGTAAACTGGACAGGCAGAGGCTTCAAGATATATGAAGAGTAATCATTGACATCGTATCTATCTAATGGCTAATGAGAAAATACGAGTTGATACATCGGAAGTTGAACAGTGGGACGACTATAAGTACTTAAGTCATCAAATTAAGAACAATCATGCTAAATGTAT